TGGGATTGGGGGGCACTGGCAGGGCTGTCTGTGGCGCTCAGCTCCTTTCTGTCCTGTCCAGGCTGGAAGCGGGTGGTTTCCCTGCACTCTCCTGAGAGCCCAACTGCTCAGCACTGGACTCTCCAGCTCTATTTCCCACCTGCCCCAGACAGAGGGGGGTTCCCAGCAGCCGAGGGCTCCCCCCCAGAGCAGGAATGATAGGGCTCAGCCATGCTGGGAATCAGGGACCGGTGGGCAGCTCCAGCCAGTCCCAGAGGAAGCCAGACGCCGGGGGTCAGCCATTCCTCCTGCTGCGAAGGCCCGTTGAGGGGGGCAGGGAGAGGCCCAGGCACACAGCAGAGGAAGCAGCAGGGACAGCGCCCAGCCGTGGCCAACCACCTCCTGCAGCATGGCTAGTTCACAGCATTTGAAGTGAGCCAGGAAAAGGCCCCTTCACTCCAGGGCTGCCCAGAGAGGGGTCTGATACTGCTCTCACTCCCCGCAAGGCGCTGAGCCCACCCCTGGCACCATGTATGGCTGGGCGGGCGTTGAGTGTGGTGAACTGCAGGCCCCATCCCCACGTGGGAGCGGCTAGCGCGAGATCAGAATCGACACCGGACCGAGGGTCCTACCCTGCTGAGCGCCTCCCCCGGCAGCTGAGCACCTAGCGGGACGGGCCCGTCAGGTGTGACCCCACTGGAATGACACTGGTGTAAAGCCAATGGGAAGTGACGACCGAAGCAAAGCCGACAGCTGGGACATCCCATTCCCACTGGCTTCAAACCCACCCCCAGAGCCAGGCCCAACGGGCCCCGAAGAGGGAGAGCAAAGGCAGGTGGGCCTGGCTCTCACACATTTAGCGCCATTTGGGATATAAGTCCCCAAGCCCCGGCTCCAGGAGTTCTGTGACGATGACAGGATCTCAGCTCTGGTTTATTTCCAGCCGGTCTCTATCTATCACGGCGGAGAAAAGCTCGGAAACGTGACCCACACACAGCCGGCCGTCAAAGCCAGATGCTTAACCACAAAAAACCCC